CGGTGTTCTTATAGATATTTTTATTTTTACAAAATAGTGCTCGATGTAAATTTACAGAGCATTAATATTATAAATTAATTGATTTAAAATATTTTTTTCCGCTACACAGTTCTAACCATGTTTCAAAAATGGAAGCTAAAAGCCACGAATTTAATTTTGCAATTAAATTAAAGACATTAGTTCCATTTCATCCTCAAGCGAATTTTGGAGTAACTTTTAAAATTACTGGGTTTTAAAGACACAGCTAAAATCCCGTTTCCATGGTTACAGATAAATCTACTTCAACTGGACAAGGGTTGTCTGGGTTTTCCTTATGTCTGTATCATTGTATCGGTTATTAGCTACATTTTGGTAAGGGGTAGGGATGTATTTTTCAATGAGAACTGACATACGTTGAATGCATGTCGTCTGGATTTTTTTTTAAATTTATTGTTAACGGCAAAAAAATTCTTACGACATTTTTTTTCCTATTTGTAAATTTAAAGATTTTCGTGGGTGTTCAGATTAGGATACTTTTTAGTTTTTATTTAACTACGATTTGAAATATTCTCATTTTTTATTTTTATTATACTATATTTTTTTTTATGAATAGTTAAATGTATTAGAATCCCTTATATTATGTATGATTATTTTTACAACAAGTATAAGTATGTATATTAGGGTACATTTTTTTATTTTTATTTTTTAAGTAAAATTTATGACAATCACGGCAAAAAGTAGTTACTTAATTTACTGATTTAACAAACTTTTATTTTTTTATATATATAAACCTAGTAATATATTGTTTCTCATGTAAGTACATCGGACATTGGTCATTCATAAGCTTACATCTTCTGGCATTTCATATTAATTTTATTTTACTATAGGTGTTTTATTGGATTCTTTTAAGTGCGTGTAGTACTAAGTAAAAGAAGTTTAGGTTAGAATTCATTTTATTTAACTACAATTTTAATTACAACTTTAAAATATTTTCATTGTTATTTTTAATAGACTATATTACTTTATAACAGAAGGAAATGTATTTGAAATTAATAAAATTAAATTAAATTCGTGGCTTTTAGCTTCCATTTTTGAAACATGGTTAGAACTGTGTAGGGGAAAAAAACATATTTTAAATCAATTAATTTATAATATATATATATATATATAATTTTCTTCCATTCCCTGAATATGTCTAGCAGTTTGAGTGGTTTTGCTGTGTAGTTTAAGGTAACAACTAGAAATTATCAGCACCTCAATACTTTTAGCTACCAATGTAACATCTGAAAGAAAAGGTACAGCTTAATAATAGTCATGAAGAGAAATTAGTTAATAATGTGGAGCCCCTCCCTTCGCCTAAGTAACGGTGGCTGAAGTTTGCAGTCGTTTCAGTTGTATATTTATTCAGACATTTTTCTGGACTATCGATATATGATTCTTGGTTGTGGCTGAAAGGAATCCACTAATGACTGAACCATATCCCATAGAATTGCGTTTAAATCTGACATGGGCGATAAAGCACAAATGAAGCACCTGGAAATGAACCAAAGGGTTCCTGGAACTAGTCACGTGCTTCTTTCGCCTCAAAACGGGTTGAGTCGTGTAACTAGAACAAATCATAAGCCCTGAGAAACATGACAATTATACAGTGGTACCGATGGTTAGCAAATTAACCATGGGTTAATAATTTTCTGTTCTCATTATCCTTATAATCGTCACTTCCAACCAGCTAATTTTTACGTTCATATCACGCACCTCATTTAGTAATCCTCTGCCTTGGGTGAATTTCAAGCCTTTTATTGAGTAAATACGTATAGAAAATTTATTTTTGCATATGTCAATTAAAATTCCAATATATTTTTAGTGTGCGCAAACTCTAAAAGAATACACCCAACGTCACTACAGACCCACTATCAGCAAGCACAACACCCTACTAACAGGCTGGAGCCATAGTCTCACCCGTCTTCCTCCATGCAAGGACAACCTTTTACACGAATGTTTCATGTTCATGTGTGAATTCAATGATAGGTTCGACGTTATTAAGTTTCTTTAGGATATCTAATAGGATTTTTGTATATGTCAATTAGAACTCCAATATATCTTATTGTGTAATCAATTTGCCAACACCCTACTAACAGACTGGAGTCATACCTTTACCCGGGTTCCTCCATAATAGACAACCGTTTATCCGAAAAATAAGAAATAATATCTCGTCTGACGAGGTGACACGGTGACAGTCGACCACGAGCAAATACTGATATTCTTTGGCTTATATAAGGGGAATTAGCCGATGTCATAGTACCATCATAGAATGTAGTACATGCTCCACAGCATTTAATGGGTTGAGTAGCACTATCATTGAATTAGGATGTGACGATATAATATTCTATTTCGTTGGGTAGTTACCATCCTTATCTGTCGTTAACGGTCCCATTATTGTATCATTCATTAACCGAGCAGCAAATGCTACTTCCGGTTTAAATTTATAAAATCTTCCCTTTAAAAGATTTTTTCATTAAAATAGTTCTCTCCAACGGTCTAACGGCTACGCTATTTCCAGTATTGATAGGAGTTTCCTTCCCAACCTTTTTTGGGAAGTAATGCGGAAGATCAACATCTTGATAATGTCATTATTTTATCATCGAGTTTCATGTGATATCAATTTTAGCTGTTGCTGGCGTTGAAGGTTCTTAAATGATGTGGTTTCTGTTATTTGGTCAAGTTCTTTGTATGTGATTCTGTAGCACCAGTCCACAAAGTTTAAAGAAGTGTAGGGTACGCAAAGATTCACAGGCTTCACTCGCTCAAATTCATTTTAACATTTGATCTGAGAAAGCCGTTGTATACAACAAAGAATTTAGATATTTATGAACGTGTTTGGCGTCATGCATCACATCCATATCAAGGATTCAATCTGACGAGGCTATTTAAGAATATGACTCGAGTTTTCATGTTAACGTTTTGGTCTTTTTAGCAATTTACGGTGTTGGGCGAAACTACATCTAAGCGCAGCCTATTCTATGTTCAGTTTGCTTTTCTTCTATACTAAGTTTGTTATAAACGATCTATACAGCAAGGTATTTGAAGTGTTTAATATTTACTAAATCCACAACCCGAATTTTATGATAGATTCAGGGCAGGTGCCATCACCGCTTTCATTCCAATTCCAGATCATTATTTCTCGTTTGGAAAGGTTTATCTAGATTCCTATTTATTGGAACTCTTACCATCATATGTTGATTTTTTGTTCAAGATCAACTTATCCCAACTTTGATTACCAATGGTGTCAGTATAGTCTACCTCATAATCAGTACATTGGCCTCGGGAGAGGAAGCATGATGGTTGTCTTCTATTGTTTCATTTGATTATTTTTTTGGACTGTGAACCTGCGTTTAACATTCATCAGAGGCTCAGACAGAAAGGAATGCTGCTAAAGTTGACAGAATATTGAAGATAGACAGGAGGTTTTAAAAATTTATGTTAATGAAATATGTTTCGTATTATTATTGGCTTGACATATTGCTGAATGAGTTTAGTCACTTATGATGCTTGTCAGTGGGTGGAGTTGGAAATACTTATTTATGATTGGATAGTAAAATCGAATGTCTAAGTGTGGTAGGAGGAGTATAGAAAAAGAGGAGGGGTAATGGTATGACCAAAAACATATGATACACAGGAGAAAAATAACCAGTCCCTCCACTTTTATCAGGTAGATAGATGAAAAAAAAAGAAAAAAGAAATGGGATGATTAATAAGGAGAAAAAGGAAGAAAAAAAAATAAGATGATTCAAAAAAGATCTAAAACTAGCAAATGAAATGAGATAAAAGTGAAAGGCTAGATTTCAGAAATATTTTTCTTAATTTATCATTTATTCATTTATTAAAGAAAAAATACATGAAAAATAAATTCAATTTTTAATGCTAATCTTAACAAAGAGGGCATGGTGGAGTAATGGATAGCGGCTTGGATTGATGAATCGGAGAGCCATGTTCGAATTCCAGTCAAATCCCTTACATTCACTTACGTGCTCAGTAGCTTTGGGGAATATATGAAGCTTTTTTAATTAAAATATTACTTTTTAAAAGAAGGTCGTTGATTTTACTCGAACAAATGACTATAGAGGACACGTCGACGTAGTGTAATGCTTAAGCAAGTTCGTCTTGGTAGATCAATTACAACTGAATAGTGAGTTCGATCCTCACTGGGTGCTCCACGCTTTCGTGTACGATCAGCGTTGGAGTATCAAACAGCATTGCCTAATCTAAAGCTTACTGACATTTACTAAATTTCAAATAGAAAGATTGTGTTACGTCAAACCTCTAAGTGGGGACGGCATGTTTGTCTTAATATTAGAAATTTCTCTAGGCTTCTACCCCGATCACAGCGTCAACAGGAAATACACAATTATTTGACCCACAGACTTGACTATGTTTTAGGCACTGTACGTGGGTAGTTTAATGAGTATCGCCGTGGAATGTAGAAGCGTTGAGCCAAGTTCAAATTCCGGTCTAGACTGTTGTCTTCCCTTTTCACAAATGCTCTTGGGAAAGGTATGAATGCGTCTTCCCTCAGTCTCAGCAGTTAAAGGTTAAACATCGGAAAAGATTGGGCTTTCTAGGCTTAGGTGTAAACCAGTTTAAGAAAACACTGAATTCTAAACTGAGAAGAAGACAACTTGAAAGGACTTCACTATCTTTCCAAATGATCTATAGCAGTTCACAGATAAAACGAAATCTGTGATCACCTACGTTCTGGGGAGAATTGTGGTCTATTCACAGAATAAGCTTATTTTTAGAATTTTTTTCCTGTTTATTTAAAGCTGGAAAATATTTTTAAATTGTATATTTTTTAGAGATAGTAATTATTCATTGATACAAGTCTTAATAATTAACCCATAGCTGGGGCGCAGAAGAGATGGATTCATACCTTTCCCAAGGGTATTTGTGCGTAAGTGAATATAATGAACTCGACTGGAATTGGAACTCGGCTCTTCGATTCCCAATCCATACGCACATGCAAGCTTACAGCACCTGGTATTCCCAAGTGGTCACCCATTTAGGTACTGTCTAGGCTTAACGTTGCTTAACTTAGGTGATCGTGCAGAAACCGGTGTTTGAACGTGGCCGTAAACCCATAATAAGCTAAATTTACCGGGTACTAGAAGTAACCATATGATCTTCGTAAATATCCCGAGGGGCGTACTTTAAAGTTTTAGGCTCCACTTTTCTTTTCTTTTTATGTGCCGTGTCCTTTCAGGACGTAGGCAATCATGGCTCTCCACCTCCCTGTATCTCTTGCAGCTCTCAACAAGTTCCTTCCCTCTGCTTCCTCCCCCAGACCACATTCTGTCATCCACTTGCTTAAGCCTGCCATGTATGTCACGCATTGATTCCCCTTGTCTCTCTTTCTCTCTATTCGACCCGTGAGTATCAAATTCTCCAGGCCTTCCTTCTTCATTATGTGTCCCAGAAACTTCAGCTGCCTCTTCGTGATGTTAAGTATAAGCTTCCTCCTTGTTTGCATTCTCTCATCGTTGCTCACACGCTCGGTTCATGATATCCTTAGCATCTATTCTGTAGAATCACATGTATGTCGCCTCGAGTCTCTTCTTCATCTTTGAGGAAATCGTCCAACATTCGCTGCCGTAAAGAAGGTCAGATGCCATGTAACAGTTCAGTATTCTTTTCCTCGTTACCAAAGAAATCCTCCTGTCTCGCACTATTCTGTCCAACTTTTGGAATGTGTCCTTGGCCATCCCAATGCGCCTACGGAACACATGGCACAGTGGATAAAGGCGTTGGTTACATCCAGTGACAGGGCCCAAAGAATGTGAGTTCAATACCTGGTTACGGTGGTGAAGAACTTGGAAAGCGGAATTAACAGGAGATAACTGATAACTGACATCCATTAGACATGGCACGTGGAACTAGAACAGTCTACCCCAGCGAGCGAAATAAAGGGTTCAGTTCGACATTCCAACCACCTGAAGAAGGTCGGAGCGTACAACGGCCGAAACGTTGTAACAAATATGGCGACAAAGATAAGGACAATAGTCCGAATAATGTAAATAATGTACATAATACCTCATCTCAGAAATATAGACAGATGCTAAGAAAATGATATTGACGTTGGTTTCTTGTACAAAATTAGCGTTAATTTTATTTAAATTTAATAAGTTCATCTTGGGCAGTTAGTTTAATGTGTAGAGGCGAGATATTCGGCAATTCGTTTTCAAATTTTCTTCGAGATCGTTACATTCGCTTTTGCACAATTCTGTTTGGGAAAAGCATGAAGCCATCATTTCTCCTCCAGCTATGGGTTAAATAGCAGTGAAGACTGGACTCTTTTGTTATGTTAGTCATCCAACATAAGAGTACAATTCTGAATTCAAAACCGTATGTGGTTATGCCAGAGCATATACGTAAACTGAAACTAAGATCCGCTCAGAATAGTTGCAGTATAAACGACAGGTTGACTCTGTGGGTGTTGAAGAGCAGCCATACATAAAGTGAGAAATCGCCCTGCTTTTCAGTGTTTTCTTCAAATCGAAACATTTCTGGTAAACTATTCAGGCTATCTTGACTCCCCCTGTAGAATCTTAATGTTTAGGAATTGAAGAATTGTTAACAAGATAGTCTTACAGCCTATTACTAACTTAATGAGTCCAAAGTAAACCATATTCATATCCTTGTGTCAGACTAAGATTAATAAATAGAGAAATACTTAACAAGGTTCTCATATAAACCAGTTAGCAAGGTAAGTGATCTGGAACCTCGATAAATGCTCCAAAATAATAACTTTGTATCAGAATTATTCTCAACGTTAATAACACTATAGAACTTTTCTTAGTTGGGCGATTAGTTTTGACTATATTTCGGAAATGATAAATTATTATTAATCGCGTTATTTACAGTCGACCTGATGGCGAAAAGGATTAGAGAAATAATCAGTGAATTTGATGCTATTATAACTGTAGGTTCAATCCCTGGGCCGGGTAGTGCGGATATATACTAAGTAAGCGACTAAGTAGTGAGTTCGTTCCTCACTGGGTGCCCCTACTTTCGACCTTGTGTTACATCTAAGATACGCTTGGAAAATCACTATAGACAGCGGAATGAGAACAATCTCCTTGTAATGGTTAACAAACTATCTTTGTCAGTCGTTATATCTGTAGTGAACTTAATTCGCACTAGTGCTCTACACTAATGGCCTTTTGCCAGACGAAACAAACCTGAGTAAATGTATTGAAAATAAATATATTTAGCCCCAGCCGTTGAATAATGGCTAACGAGCTAGTCGACTATTTGTACTGCGTAACGAATCCCGTCTTCAGTGGGTGCTCTATATTTGAGGCCTTGTTCCAGGCTAAGTTAGACTGAGTAAATACTTTTTGTTACAAGGTGTCTTTTCGTAATGCAACAATTGACTAAATTTTCTAGTTCATTGCTTTTACAGTGTGCTCAGTCCTTGGAAGGTGCCTCATATTTGTGTCCTTTTGTCAGACTAAGCCAAGTTTTGTAAACATCTATAATTATTTGAATACTTAAAGATCTGAACAGTTTACAGAAAGTTCTGCCATAAGCAAATGTGTGTGTAAGAGCCAAAGGATAAAGGTAGTTGCTTATTGCTTAAAATTTGAAACAAACATGTTTATATCAAAATTATCAATCGAAACAAAACAAAAAAGATATTTGCAAAAATAAAAAAAGTCCATAACAATCTTTCTGAATTGGAGAAATAGCTTTAAAAATAGATTTGGTTGACAGACTTTCAAAGAACGACCAAAGAAAAGAGAACGCAATTGTGCCTCACAATAAAATTTCTGAAAGGATCGAGTCAAAGAAAACTACCCTAAAAACCTCAGACAAACAACAATTTTATGACGACAACATCGTCGGTGTCAAACTTTGCAAGGATATGACTTGCTGTAAACAATTCTGTCGACAAGCCTATCCATAAAAAAAAGGTGGTCAAGATTTAAACCGATTAATTGTAGGCTATTTTTCATCTGTCTAACATGCAAAATCGTTCTTCTTTGAAGTGTTCTTCATTCGACTACATTAAAAAAAAAATCCATTTGATTTCTTGAAATTATCGAATCAGAATTAATATGTGTTGTTTATGTTTACAGCCAATTCCATTTGATCTTTCCGCCCACCCAACCCCTAAGAGCAGAAGAATGTTAACCAAATAAGAATCTTACATCGACAGACAATGCCCTGAGGCTCTGAGATAAAAAAAAAAAATTGTTTTTCGTTATGCCCGACTCTTAACTAAAATACCTAATTTTTTTTAATTACTATAAATGAGTCAAACACATTTCGCCAAGCCAGACATTTGTTATGTTAAGGTTATTAAAATTTTCTATGAAGCATTGACAATAATTATTCAGTTTTGATTAGAATTTATTTCATTTCAAATTATTATTATTATTATTTTATTATTATTATTATTATTATTATTATTATTATTAATAATAATAATAATAATATTACTGCTTCTACTACTACTATTATTATTATTATTATTTTTATTTTCTTTGATTTCTGGCGTTTACACATTTCTTTCCGGGTCCCGCCCAGTGATTTCTAAGGTTAGAAATGGCATCATGACACTTTCCACTGACAAAAAAAAAAAATTAAATTACATAGATAAAGCCCTTCGTAAGGTGTGGGCTGTACTTGTCAGAACAATTTTTGTATCTCCTTGAGGCATGGACTTCCAGGAATCCCTTCAATTAGTCTACTGCAATCTTTTCCAACCAGTCCTGGGGCTCCAACTACAACAGGGATTGTTGATGTTCCCATATGCCACATTTTCGAGATTTCTATTTCAAGGTCCTTGTATTTTGACAACTTTTTGAATATCTTCAAAGATACATTGCAGTCAGCAGGGACTGCCATATCAATAAGGAGCCACCGTTTTTGTTTGTGGTCTTTAATAACAATATCTGGCCGGTTGGCCTTGATTGTTCTTTCAGTGTGTATTGTTTATCATTATTACTATTATTATTATTATTACTAAAAATATTACTGCTACTACTACTACTATTATTAGTAGTAGTATTAGTATTATAATTATAATTATTATTATTGAGAGTAGTGGTGGTGGCGGTGATGGTAGTGGTGGTATTTCCTTTGATTTCTGTTGTATAAACATTTCATCTTTCCGGGTCCCAACCAGAGACCTAAAGTCAGATATGGCATCGTGACATTTTCCACTGATCATTTTTGTAAATATGATCACACACATTTTCTATAGATAAAGCTCTTCGTAACGCGTGTGTGTACAATTTTTGTATTTCTTTCAAGCATAGACTATAATGAATCCCTTCACTGAATCTACCGAACCCTTTTCCAATCAATCCGGGGGCTCCAGCTACAACTGGAATTACTGATGTCCTCATGTGCCACATTTTTTAGATTTCCACTTCAAGATCTTTGGATTTTTATAGTTTTTTTTTTTTTTTTTCAAGATTTTCAAAATACATTAAATCTGCACGAACTGCCATGTGAATAAGACAACACATTCTTCTTTTGTTGTCTTTGATCAAAAGATGTCTGAGCGATTAGCTTTGACTTTTCTGTCTGTGTGTATTGTAAAGTCCCATAAATTTGTTACATGTCCTATGTCTGTAACCGGGTCTGGGTGATGTTTATAGCAGTTTCTTGCAGTTTCCTTCCCGTAGAAGTTGCATATTTTCCAGGGTAAATATTGGTCCACTCAATCATGCCGATATTTATGAGTGGGTGCTAAAACTGATACAAGATGGTCAGTTGTTTCTGGATATTTATCACAAAATCTGCATTTCGGATCTACACAACTTTTCAGTGTGTGTGTGTTTGTTAAGTTCTTCTTAGCAATCATTGGATCTGTTTTTCTATTTAGCAAGCATCGGATCCATGAAGCCAAAATAAAACCTTCGGTTTCAGCTTTTAACCCTTCACTAAGTAGATACTGATTTATTATTATTATTATTATTACTATTATTATTTCCTTTGATTTCTGGTGTTTACTCGTTTCTTTCCGGGTCATGGCTTTAAAACAGTTGTAATTGCTTTTCTACACATAAAAAGGTGTTTACTATACAAAAAACAAAAAAAAACAAACTTGTCATCGCTTTCCGAC